ATGCCAGTAGTTAGGGGTAGCCAGGGCTGGTCTTGGGCTCAGTCACACTGAGCTGAGGAGAGGCCTGATGGTCCAGTCCAACTTCAGTGCTGTCCTCAGGCAGAAGCTGGGCTGCTTCCCCACAGGCATGGTGGGGAAGGGGTCCAGAGGAGGACCATACCTTTCCGTGGCCTGCTGGCACTGACCAGTCCACATGGAAGAGCCAAGCCCAAGCTGCGCTCCAGCCTGCTGCAGGGGAGCCCCCCCACCTCTCAATTCTCTCCTTCTGTTGCACTTGTGTCTCTGGAGCTGCTGTGCTGTGCTGTCCTGTCCTGTGCTGTGTCCTGCTGTACTCCCCTTGTCCCTGTGACTCAGTCTCCTCTCCATCCAGCAGGCAGTGTGTGGCGCTACGTCCGAGCCAGTGCGTCTTACACCCCCTACTTGCCTCCGCTCTGCGACCCCAAGGACAGCCACATGCTTGTGGACGGCTGCTATGTTAACAATGTCCCAGGTCAGCATCTCCTGCTCCCCGCTGGCCCCCCCAGGCTGCGGGCACAGGGGCGAGATGCAGGGCAAGGCCGAGCCAAGGCGACAGGCCCGGAGTTGGTTCCTCCTTCCAAGCCATGTCCCATCCTTCCCTAGCAAGACCTGGGTCTGTCTGGTTTGAGGACACAAGCCTGGATCCATCTACCCTGCTCAGACACACGCCGTGCCGGCAGGGACCTCTGCACAGCGTGGCGACCCAGTGGACCAGGCGCAGGCCCTGGTGGGCGCTGGGACGGAGACTAGCCATACGTCCCCATGCTGTGCAGACACCCTGGCCCAGGCAGGGGCAAGGGGCAGCCCCCGAGGGGCTCGGCGGGTCAGGGTGTCGGCTCTCCTGACTCCCTTTGTTCCCGCTGGTCAGGCTCGCTGTGGCGGTACGTGCGAGCTAGCATGACCCTTTCTGGGTACCTACCGCCACTCTGCGACCCCAAGGACGGCAACTTGCTGATGGATGGCGGCTACATCAACAACCTGCCAGGCAAGTACCTGCTGCCCACAGAGATGCTGCCAGCCGGCTGGAGCACAGCACCCCCTGCAGGCCACCCCAGGATGCTGCCACCATCTCTGCTCCCCCTTCATGCCCCTCCATTTCCACAACTTCTTCAGCAGTGGGGGACCTACTGGGTGCCACAGGACACACTGGCACCACCTGTTGCAGTCTCTGAAACAAGCACCTTGCTCCATAGGGGCTGCCTAGCATGTGGCACGCAGCCTCAGGTTTGGCTTCTGCTTGCCAGCAGGTGCAGATCTTTGGGGGCTGTGCAACTGCCACCTCTGGATACAGCTGCAGTGGTGGCCCCCTGGGATGGGCTGACTCCCAGGCAGGGGTCAGGATGGGGTTGTTCCGATATGAGCAATATGGAACATCTGGGGGCCGGGGTCCTTCCCTGGCAGTGAGGGACCTGGGGCCTGGGTGTTCTGAGCATGGCAGAGTCACTCCCTGCTTCCAGGATGGCTAGCTGCAAGCCAAATAGAAGGGCAGCACCTGCAGGCCAAAGCACAGGACCGGGGCTGGCGTGTGCCTTCCCTGGGGTGGGTGGCTGGGAAGCTGATATCTGTGGATCAGCTCCTGGCCATGGGGCAGGGGGAGCCATGGGCTCCAAGCACAGCAAGATGTGAAAGGTGCTGGCTCTAGCCAACCCAGTCTCCCTGGAAGGCAGGTGTCTCTCTTTCCTGGGTGCCTGGAGCTGTGTCAGCTTCACTCTTGTGCGGTCATGGTGCCTGGATGCAAAATTAGAACTGCTGGGAAAGGAGCAGCCCTATGGATGCAGCCTTTGAAGAAGCCAGGCTTGCCCAGTTCCCACACTGCCTGGAGCCTCAGAGAGCACCCTGGCCTGCCCACTACCCTCTGGGGCTGATGGCTCCCCAGTCTTGCAGGGGGCTGACACTGGATCATTCCTTGCAGGAGAGATGGAGACTCGGGTTAGGTACATCCTCAGCATGGCCCTGCCTGTTTATGGTGGCTATGCACACAGACAGATCTCCCTGGGTGCAGCCCCTACTTGCAACCTTCCAGCTAGACCTGTGCCCTTGGATGCTCTCAAGCCTTCCTGCTCCATCCCATGCTGAAAGCAGCTGTCTGTCCTGCCTGGCTCCACATTTCTCCAGGCCTGGCCGCAGCCCAGCACCTTCCTGTATCCCTGCTGCTTGCCCCATCTGCTTGTAGTCAGTGGCCACTGTAGAGCCACACATCCTGCAGAGCTGCCCTGCCTGGCTTCGCTGCAGCCTAGCGTCCAGTTCTCTTGGCCTGGCAGCTGTCACATCTAGCATGTGGCCTGGCTTGCAGGGTCATGGCGCAGCACAGGCCTCCCTCCTGCTTCCTGGACTGGGCTCAGAGGAACTGAACTGCAGTTCTGCGCTGGGGGGAGGGGGGGTCCCCTTAGGCTGTGGAGCCCCACTGCCCCAACCTTCATGTCTTGCCTGCCTCTGGACCTGGCTGGTGCCTGTTGCCAACAAGGGGATGAATCAATAGCACTGCCCGCCCTGCCTGCTTGCCTGTGGGGGCCCTGTGGGAGGGCTGGCATCTGTCTGTCTGGGTGTAGCTGGGTCTGTGTGCGTCCGTCCCTGATGCGCTGTCTCCAATGCTAGCGGACATTGCCCGGAACATGGGTGCCAAGACAGTGATAGCTATCGATGTGGGCAGCCAGGATGAGACGGACCTGTGCAACTATGGGGACAGCCTGTCCGGCTGGTGGCTGCTCTGGACCCGCCTCAACCCCTGGGCTGAGAAGGTCAAGGTGAGGCCCTGGCCCCCTAGCCCTCACCCACCCAGGTCTGGGGCTGATGTCAGCTGGGTGCATTTGGCTGAGCAGAGACCTGCACCAGCTGGCTGTCTGCAGCAGAAAGGCACTGGCTCTCCCTGGGGCAGAGCTGGCTTCAGGCTGGGACCCCCCACTCCCACCCTGCCCTGGTGTGCCACTGCATCCCCCACTCCAGCTGTCTGATCCCCTGCCCACAGGTGCCAGACATGGCAGAGATCCAGTCGCGCTTGGCCTATGTGTCCTGCGTGCGGCAGCTGGAGGTGGTGAAGTCTAGCTCGTACTGTGAGTACATCCGCCCTCCCATTGACCGTTTCAAGACCATGGACTTCGGCAAGTTTGATGAGATCTATGTGAGTCCTGGCTGGGGGCAGTGATGCTGGGAGGAGGGTGGGACTGGAAGCCTCCTCCATCCAGCCATCCCTGGAAGTCTTGGTGCCTGGGCTGTCTCTCATGCTATGGCCAGCTTCCTCGGGCTCTGCAGCTGGCCCATCACCCTTGTGTTCTTGCAGGAGGTGGGCTACCAGCATGGCAAAGTGGTGTTCAGCGGCTGGAGCCGCGGTGACATCATCGAGAAGATGGTGAAGGACCGGCGCTCAGCTGACTTTTATGAGAGCAAGCGCATGGATGTGAGTGGTGCGAGGGAAGGGGGTCTCTCTCCAACCGGCAGGTAGGAGGGGCAGGGAAGCTACCCACTTCCAGGGGAGCTGGGGGATGGACAGCCTTCCCCTCAGTGCAGGCCTTGCAGCCAATGGGAAGCGTCTTGCAGACCTGTACAGGAACAGGGGTTATGCCCCTGTGCTACGGGTGTCTTCTGGGCCTCTCCCACTTCCATCCATGAGGTGAGCTGGCCTGTCCTGTACCCATCATCTGCAGCTCCACTGTCTCTAGACCATAGTTGGGAATGGCTCCTGCCCTGTGCCCCTTTCCCAGACATGCTCCCCTCCTGGAGGCCTGGGCCACCTGTCTTGGCTCTAGCTAGTATGGCTCTCGCCTGCAGGTGCTGACATGTCCCAGTGCAGGGTTCACAGACCTGGCAGAGATTGTCTCTCGCATCGAGCCTGCCAAGACCTACCTGTCTGATGGTTACGCTGATGGTGAGTGGGTGCGGGCATGGGGTTGGGGGAGCTCTACATGTCCAGCACTCCTGTCCTGCAAGACATGGAGCAACTGGGGGGTCATGATGGAGCACAATACCTGTGCTTGGAGACCCTAGGACTGGGGAGGCTTGGCTCTTGCCTCAGGGACCGTGGCTCTGGGTGCTGCCAGGAGCACGTGGATGTAGGCTTGGGGTAGGTAGGCAGTGTGGGGGGTGTAGAAAGGCCAGGGCTTGGGGAGCGGGGGCATGTGGGCTGGGAGTGTGGGGCACCATTGAGAAGGGGAGGTGAGAGGATGCTGGCCCTGCTGAGTCAAGGCAGGCCAGGGGGCTGGCACTGACACTGGCCAGGGAGGGATTGTTGCTTGTCTGCTTGGCCTAGGTGAGGAGTCCGACTACCTGACGGAGTATGAGGAGGAGGGGCTGGAGGTGGGGCGGGGTGAGGAAGAGCCCTCCACGCCATCCGAGTGGGCCCCCAACCGAGTGTCTGAGAACGTAAGCACCTCCTGCTCTGCTGGGGCTGGGGGAGGCCTGGGCTGGACTTCAGTCCTGTCCCTGCTGCCTCGTCTCCCCTCCCCAGCCCCAACCCCAGCTCCACACCATTTCCTTGCTGTACCCTGCCCTCTTGCCTGGCCTCACTCTACCTTCCTTTCCCCACCTGAAGCTTGCAGGGCCACTGCGCCAGAGGTCCATGATGCCCTAGGGGCTAGAGGCTTGTTCAGGTGCCATGGTGGTGACCATGCATGCTCCACCCCTCCACCACAGGCACTCCCTGTCCTGGCCCTACGCCCAGCTCCTGGTTGAACCCTGCCTGGGCTCCTTCACCTACTGCTGTGCCTAGAGCCTGCTGGCCTCCCCATGCAGCCCAGCCCCCTCCCCTGTCTGGGACCCAGGTCTGTGTGGAGGTGGAGGTGGGGTCTCCTAACGGCATGGTCTGTCCTGTGGTTGGGAGTGTGGGCAGGCCGCAGGTCTTGTTTTAAAGAGTCTAGCCCGGTCTGCTCCCCTGACGTCACACTGCCTCTCTGCAGGACGAGGACAAGAGCCTGCGGCGCCGCCCATGCGCCTCCCAGGAGCCCTCCGTGTTCTTGGCATGAGCCAGGCCTGACACAGGATTGATGCCGGAGCCTGCCCTGCTCCTGCCACCTGCACCTACCTCTGCAGCCCCGCCCAGCACTGCCCAGTGCCAGGCCCAGGGTAGTATGTGGGAGGCTCAGGAGCTGCCCTCTTCCTCCATGGGGCAGCTTCCAGAATGGTGGCTGCCCCCTAGTGCCATGGGTCTGGCTTGGCACTGCCCTGGGGCAAACGGTACCTGCTGGGCCCAGCACTGCCTGTGATAGTATTGGAGCTAGGTTGGGCCCCTGGTTGGCCTTTGCCTACCCTCTTCCCCAGAAACACTTTGCACTGAGCCCAGGGGTTGGGGTAACTGCAGCACTGGACTCTGTACCCTGGTCCCCCCACTACTGCCTGCACTGAAGGAGGGAAGGGGCCAGGTCCTGTGCTCTGCATCCTGCTGTGGCAGGGCCAGGGCCAGGCACTACTTTAAAGCCATCAGTGGTTTTCCCAGAGCTGCTCTTCCCGTTTCCCCAGGAGCTGGAGCCTTTCTGTATGGCAGAACCAGGTTTTGCTCCTCTGTGCCGGAGGCACCCTTATCTCCTGTCACCAGCCCTTGCAGCTGTGGGGGCACCAGCTGAACTGGAAAGAGGGGAACCCCTCCCTCACTGCTCTGAGCTCACTGTGTGCCAGGGGCCCCTGTGTCCACCCAGGGCTTTCCATCTACCCCTATGGAGCCTGCATTGGCTGTGGGATGAAGCGCCTGTGCCCCGGCCCAGCCACCGGCTGCTCTCCTGCAGAGTTATCTCTATTTTTGTTAAGTTATTGCTGTGCCTGGGAGCCCCCATGAGGAGGCAGGGGTTGCAGCCAGGCATGGGGACCTTGCTGTATTTTTTTTATTATTATTTAAAATTAAAGCTGCTTTTGGCTGGGGGGTGGGAGCAGGGTAGGGTTGGCTCTGCTGGAATAAAAGCTTTGACTCCCCAGGGCATGTGTCCAGGCCTTGCTCTCAGGGGGCTCGGGATTATAGGGGGATGGGGTTGAGTGGGGGCAGGGGCCTAGGACCTTCCCACCCCAAGTGGTGGCTCTACCAATGGCAAGGGTCAGGGAGAGTGGGCCCAGCTCACCTGCATGGCACTGTGGGGTTTGTGCCCCAGGGTGAGGCCTGCACACCAGAGGCAGGGGGGTTTGCTGCTGGCACGTGCCCTTGTGCTTTGGCTTCCCCAGTCTCTAGGGCTCTGGCCAGGGCTGGGGACTGCCTCCTCCCCCTCCCCTCGCCTCCCCCATATGGCTGCAGATGTCTGGTCCCATGGGGGCTGCTCTGCCTGCCCTTGCCAACCATGGGCATGAGTGCCCAGCCTCTGCTGGCTTGGGCCTCCAGCAGGTCTCTAGCTACAGGTTTGTCCAGGCCACAAGGATGTCAGAGTGTTTTTATGCCTCCCTCAGGCACTGGGTGTTGGCTGCAGCCCAGGCTGGGGATGGTGGCTAGGCTGTGCCAGTGAGCCTGCTGGGACCAATCTGGAGGTTCCCCTTCCTGACCCCATATTTGGGGTCGGGAAGGAATTTTCCCCCTGCTCAGATCTGTATGGACTCTGGGGGGAGGAGGTTGCCTTCCTCTGTAGCAGGGACACAGCCTCTCCTTGGGGTTTCTTGTCCCTATATTAACAACCTTTTACAGCAGCACCTTTTTTGGCCGCCATGGCCCCTGCTTTCTCTGTGGCAGGTTTGGGTGTGATGTCCAGTGCTGCGTCAGGGCTGACTCTGTAGTTTTGCTAATAGCTTAGATGATGGATTTGTGGGCTGGCTTGGTCAGGGCTGATCCTGCCCCAGGCAGGGGCTTGGATTAGATGTGACCTCTGGAGGCCCCTTCCCAGCTAGCAGAACATGGGGCAGGAACACTTGTCCTTCACAGGGGGTAGCAAAGGCCTGTTTCCAGTTGTAAGTAGCACCCTCCCTTGGGACTATGACCATTCTCCTGCCCTGGGTGAGCAGTATTGCCAACCCCACCGTGTCAAAAATCATGAGACAAACTTAAAAACCAAGAGATTTGGAATGTAAATCATGAAATGCTATTTTTGAAGTGCATGTGCACAGTTCCCAGGGCAAAAGGAGCAGAGCTCCAGCCCACAGTAGGCAGCCCACCACTGCCCTGCACACAAATTCAGGGGACATGTGCCCCCATGCCTCCCCTGGCCCCAGGGCTCCATTCACCTCAGACCCTGCGACCCTCCCTCCCTCACCATGGAACCTCAGTCTGCACCCCCCAGCCCCTTCTCTTCCACAGACTTATCAGCTTGGTGCTCTCTACATGCACCAGAAGAAAAAAATCCCAGGATTTGATCTATCAGGAGATCACGAGTCGGAGTTCATAGATGTAGATCATGAGTCGGAGTTAATTTAACTCGGAAATCAGGTCTTGTGATCTTTTCAGGAGAATTGGCATTACTGGGTAACTGCAGGGCTGCTCCTGCCCCACTCACTGGATCCTGCAGCCTGCCTGCAGCTGTGCTGCCTGGGGAGAGGCACAGGGAGGGCAGTCCCACTTATGGATCCACACGAGAGCCCAGTATTGTCACTAGCACTGAGGTGATTCATACTGACCCTAGAGAATGGGAACATCTCCCCGCCCCTGCTTCCTGGCCACCCTCCAGCACAGAGGAGCCTGGGCTCCTCCAGTAGGTAGGAGGGTCCAGGTTGTGCCTGCAGCATAGATGACTCGGGGCCTGGGAGGAATTTGAGACATTTATTCTTGCTCTGTAACAAGCCCTGGTAGAAAATTAATTTAAAACCCAGTTCCCTGCACCCCCCCTCCCCACACACTTTCAGTGACCCCATTCCCCACCAAGCAGAATTGTGGCACCCCAAGGTCACCTGGCACTGGTAGGACCCCTGCGCCCTGAGCTGGGGCCCCAGGACAGGCCACCTCCCCTGCACAGCAGCTGGGGGTGTCACCCAGACAGAGGCCTGTGCCCAGAGTAAAGAACTCCCCTACCTTGTCCCCCCTGCTGAAGAGGAGCACTGGAGCCCGAGCACCAGCAAGAACCAAGGCAATAGACGTGGGTGTGTGCCTGTGCCAGCCAAGAGCCACCTCTGCCATGGCCTCTCAGCTGCTTGGATCCCAGCCTCTACCTTTGCCCTGGCAGGAGCCAGAAACAAAGCAATACCCCTGTGTAGGGCACATCGCTGCCCTGGTGCTGTCTCATGGGGTGAAGAGTGGGTTCACAGTCTCCCCTGCTAGGGGGTAGTCAAAATGACGGTGTGGGGCTGGAATGCATGGGGCAGGGCCTTTTCTGCTTTACAGCTGCCCAGAGGCATTCATGCTGCGGCGAATGATGAGAATGAATGGGTAGGGCAGGGGTGGGCAAAATGTGGCCTGCCAGGCCGTTCTGTCTGGCCTGTGGGGCCCCTAAAAAATTTAGAAAATTAATATTTATCTTCCCTGGCTGCCTGTCATGTGGCCCTCAATGGCTTGCCAAAACTCAGTAAGCGGCCCTCTGCCTGAAATAATTGCCCATCCCTGGTGTAGGGGCTGCAGCCTAGTGCTCAAGGCTCTGACCCAAAACGTGACCCAGGCCCCTGCCAGAATCCCCTCTCTGCTGCTTTCTCTCTGGCCAAGCCCTGTCCTGTGCAGGGGCCCAGTACTAATGTGGGGGGCGGGGGGGAAGTAAAGGCAAGGGCAGGGAGGGTTCCTAGGTCAGGGGAATATGGCCTCAAGACCCCCAGGCACAGGAATAGAGTGGTGGAGCATGGACTTGAGTCTCCTACATGTTGGGAGTATTCACTAGAGGAGCCTCCTGGGCTGTGGGTCTCCATGAGGCTGGCAGGAGCTGGGTGCTGAGCATGCCCAGAACCCACAGCCCAGGCACCTGAGGGCACACAAGCCCCCTCCTCCCTCCCAGGGTCCAGCAGTGGCTGTGGGGTGGGAGGGGGAAAGCCCAGGACTCACCCCCCAGGCATTGGGAATGTACATGACTTGTCATCATGTTCAGGACAGGACCCTGTCCCCTGCATCCCATGAAGCAGAGAAAGGGCACCTGGGTGAGCCCAGCCATGCCCGGGGCCTGGTCTACAGGAGTGGGGTGGTGTCATTCAGCAGCATGGACACGCTGGTGCAGGATAAGGTTGGAGCTGCGGCTGTAGCGACGCCCACACTGGCCACAGTGGAAGGGGCGGTCGCCAGCATGGGCGCGGCAGTGCCGTAGCAGGGCTGAGCGATGGCTGAAGCGGCGCTCGCACTGAGGGCAGGCGTGTGGCTTCTCACCTGTGTGCCTCCGTCGGTGCTCCACCAGGCTGGCCCGCTGGGCAAAGCCACAGCCGCACTGCGGGCATACGTGGGGCCTCTCCCCGCTGTGCGTGCGCCCATGGGCAACCAGTGCTGCCCGGTGCCCAAAGCTGCGACCGCACTGCAGGCACATGTGGGGCTTCTCCCCACTGTGTGTGCGCCCGTGGGCCCGCAAGTGCGCCCGCTGAGTGAAGCAGCGCCCACACTGCAGACAGGCGTGAGGGCGGGTGCCTGTGTGACCCTGCCGGTGCCGCAGCAGGTTGGCACGATCTGCAAAAGCACGGCCACAGTCGGGGCAGGCATGGGGGCGGGCACCGGGGCTGGCACCATGGGCACTGCGCTGGTGCTGCCGCAGGTAGGCACCCTGCGTGTAGCCGCGCCCACAGTCCCCGCAGCGGTAGGGGCGCTCGCCAGTATGCACCCTCTGGTGTCGCAGCAGTGTTGCGTGCAGGGCGAAGGTTTTGCCGCAGGCCAGGCAGGCGAAGGGGCGCTGGCCTGTGTGTGTGGCTTGGTGCCGCCGGAGGTGGGCACGCTGCCGGAAGCCACGGCCACACTGTGGGCAGGCATAGGGTCGCTCGGCTCCATGGGTGAGCAGGTGGCGCTGCAATGTGGAGCGCAACCCAAAGCTCTTGGGGCACTGGGGACAGGTGTGGGGGCGGGCACCAGCACTGTGGGTGCCCTGCTGGTGCTGGACCAGGTGGGCGCTCTGCCGGAAGCCCTGCCCGCAGTCCCCGCAGCGATAGGGGCGCTCGCCTGAGTGTACACGCTGATGCACCAGCAGGGCTGAGCTGCCTGCAAAGGCCTTGCCACAGGCCGGGCAGGGAAAGGGGCGCTCGCCCGTGTGGCTACGCCGGTGCGTGGCCAGAGCTGCACGGTCACAGAAGCCCCGGCCACAGGTGTCACACTGGTAGGGGCGCTCGGCTGCGTGCAGCAGCTGGTGCCGTGTCAGTGTTGCGCTCTCCCCGAAGCTCTTCCCGCACGTCACACACTTGAAGGGGCGCTTGCCCATGTCCTGTGGCACCACTGCTGCATCCTCTTGCCCTGCCACGCTCTCCAGCACCATGCCTGCAAGGAGAAGGGAGCCCAGGTGAGCCCCACCTGGCAGCACAGGTACCCGCACAGCTCCCCCTCTCCCCCTACCAGGGGCTATTCCTAGGGCCCTACAGAGCTGGGTCGCCTTGGCAAGCTGCTCTTGCCTGCTCCCAGCTGGAAGCACGGCCTGGTTTTCCTGTGGGAGAGGAGCAGCTCATCTCCCCGGATGCCCAGGCGCCTGACTCGAGGGGCACAGCCCAGAGGCCATGGGGATGGGAGCCTTCCTGGGAGGGACAGGTGCCGCCTTCGTGGTCCGGGGGAGGAGGCCGTGGGGTGGGGGGCACCGGGCTCCTACCGTAGCTGAGAGCAGCCCCACTACCTCGTGTCAGCCGGCTGTGTCCACTCACCGGCGGGGCGGCCTGCCCAGCTCTCCCCCTCCTCACGCCCTTGGGCCTGCGGGTCTTCCTCCGGCTCCATCCGCGGGGCAGCGGGGCCTGCTGGCGGGACGGTCACGGAGCC